CCCCGGACACCCTTTTAGCTCAGTAATGAAGTCACTCCTGAGATTCACCCTTCAGCCAAAGATTAGACAGGCTCATAAAACAAAACGAGACTAAAGGGGCACACCAGCCCAGGGGCAAGGACTAGAGGCAGGAGGGGACAGGAAAGCTGGTAATAGGGACCCCAAGGTTGAGAAGGGAGAGTGTTGACATGTTGTGGGGTTGCTAACCAATGTCACAAAATAGTATGTGTACTAACTGTTTAATGAGAAGTTAGTTTGTTCTGTAACCCTTCATCTAAAGTACAATAATAAAAATAAAGCCAAAAAAAAAAAAAAGTTAATGGTTCTGTTTTATACATTTAAATAAGAGATGCCCATTAAACAAACAGGTGGGAACATCTACTAGGCAGCTGGCTATCCAAATTCGTAAGTGAGAGAGAGGCCTGAGATTGGGTGTGTGTGTGTGGGGTGTGTGTGTGTGTGTGTCTGTGTGTCTGTGTGTGTGTGTGAATGATACTGAAGCCACTGGCCTAGATGAGAGCTTCCAGAGAAAGCAAACAAGAAGAGAGCAGGGCTGAGGCTAGGACCTTGGTGTACACCAATATCTGATGGTCGGGTAGAACAGAAGTCAAAGGCAACTAAGAAGAAACAGGTAGCAAGGTGGATAACTGTTTTATTGGACAGGGGAACAACAGATGTATGCTTTCAGAGGGGAAAGTTTGGAAAAGTTGAGACAGTGGAAATGTCTAAAAGAAATCAAGTTTTCAGGCTTTCAAAATTTGGGATAAAAATCTGGACCGGAAATACAGATTTAGAAATCATCAGCACACAGATAAGTGAAGTCATAGCAGTGGATGGCATCAGCCATGGAGAATGTACATTATGAAGAGCAGAGTATACAGAAGAACAGAAACTTGAGGCCCACCAACATCTAAAGAGGAGCACAGGAGGCTGATGAGACTGGCCAGATAAGAAGAAAGAAATCCTCAGAGTATAATGTTATGAAAGCCAGAGGGAAGTGTTTTGAGAAAGAAATATGTCTACTGTATTCAGATAACTGAACTTAAAAAACCTCTAACTAAAGCCATGCTACTTAGGGCTCTATCAGAAAAGACTTTAAAAAATAATATACATGTTACAGAGTTACAGGAGAAGTATTCAGTATTACAACTATCTTTAAATAGTTCACAAGCAATTAAAAACACTGAACTGAGCAGGTATTAAATTAAATTTGTAATTCTCTATTAGGGCAGCAATAAATTTCTAGGACAAGGTTATGCAAGATCATCAATATAAAATTCTCACTGGCAACTCTTTAAGAGTATTAAAATGTACAGGACTGGCACACAATGGTCATGCAAATACTTGTTGGATATCTGAATAAGCAGGTTGTTGTGCCAATCTGGATAACCAAGCAAATACATCAGGGCATTAGAGAGTTCTTATATTTGCCTATAATAATGATTTATCCTGGGCAAGGGCTCCGATTTTTGGTTTAAAAGTTAAATGTATTTCCAAATTTGAATGTTAGTTTTAATATATTATAACATAAACCAAAAACCCAAACCAAACCCACTGCCGCTGAGTCAATTCCGACTCATGGCAACCCTAAAGAACAAAGTAGAACTGCCCCAAAGGGTTTCCCAGGAGTGGATGGTAGATTAGAATTGCTGACCTTTGGTTAGCAGCAGTAGCTCTTAACCACGGTGCCACCAGGGCTACATTACACCATAAAGACAGAGTCAAAGCACACCATTACTAGCAGCCTTACTTCTACTGATTACACATATAAACTGCTATCTGAAAAATTACAGAAACATTAGACAGCCAGGGACAACTGCTGTTGGCCCTACCCTGCTGACCACAACATAGCTCTTTTGTTTCTCTACCACTGTCTTTTATTTTCTCTTTTTTCACTTCTACCTAATTTTAGCAACCACTACTTAAAAAGCATGGTGTCCCATTTGCTTCCTTGCCCTTTACAAGCTGATGACATCATGCCTCTTACAAGATACCACTCGGCACCTGCCTTTCATTTTTATAAATTCACTTTTGTCCCTTGATTAATACAGTACTACTGAATGATAAAACATGTTACCAGCGCTGGAGACTTACATTCCAGAAATATTACTAGAGATTCTACTCTATCATGCAATATAAAATATAATATTGATAACATAAGAACACAGTAAAATAGAAAAGATACGAAAGCTACAGTAAAAATGAAAGGGTCAAGAAATGTGATTTAGAATACAAATAATAAGTGGTCAATGCTGGAAAACAACAAGGGTTATAAGAAAAAATATATAAGATAATTCCATGCAGTTAGGCTATTATAAGCAGGTTATTTTGGTATAAAAGGGAATTCCTAGATTTTGAGGATTATGAGATACGTACTTGTTTTAACAGATAAAGTTAAAAATATGACGTAACAAATCTCAATTCTAGTTAGCTTTGAAATCTATAGTTCCAATTCCCTTAAGAGTGACTATCATTAATCAAAACCAATGGAAAGTTTTTACTATGAAAATCATATTTGGTTCAAAACACTTCCTGTTGATCAATATATAGATAGATAATATCTCTCAAATCATGTGAAAGGACTACTCTGATAGAAAACAAGTGATAAACTGCTCGGCCAAATGAGGAAAAAACACAATTTCCTTAATATAGCACATTTTCAAAGACCAGGCTGATAAACAGAACCTTAAATTAAAATTTTTTTCACCATGTAGTTTCTGCTATCGAAGATACTACTGATATGAAGGAATGCAGGCACTTCTTTCTCCATATTTTGCAAGCTCTATGAGCTGAACTTTTATAGCAGGCAGTATACTATAGATAAAAGCATGGCCTCTGGAGCCAGAATGGCACAGTTTGAATTTCAGCTCTCTAGCGCTTTAAGAGCCATGTGTTCCTCAACTATAAAATACGAAGTGCTAACAACCAACCTGACACAAAAAGTGCTATTATAAATGTTACCCATCATTTTTTGTTGTTTATGTTCTTAAGAAATGACTTGGGTTGTTCCTCCAGATTGTATAGCGATCTGATATCAGAAGAGCCAATAATTCTGATTTTCCTTCTCCACTCATTTTTTCTTTTAAGCACCTATTGCTAACACATTACATATTTCATTTCATTTTCTTGTGATCTGTCTGTCTACCTCATGTGAAAATGAGGCAGAGATTTTTGTTGTAATCATGGTTGTATGCCCACAGCCTAGAAAGATACCTCCCACATAGCAGATATAAATACTGAATTCCAGCAAGTCTAACATGCACGTATTTTTACAGTTTATTTACATCTCTGAAATTGGGATTTAAAATTGATGGCATCTTACAATTATAACTGCTAATATTTTTTCTTCTTAGGGGTTATATAAAACTTATTCTGATGAATAGCTGGGGTCTGATGAAAGATACATTTATCAACGAACGAATTAATTAATAAATGAAAGAATGATAGATAAGATGAACTAAAGGAACAGGTAAACAACTTCAGTTTTCCATAATCAAAATTTATGCACTTGAAAAATCATTTAATTCTCACTTTGCCAAGTACAAATGGGTTATTCTAACAAAAGAGTACTTGCTGTCTAGATCACTCCCTTGGGCATACAAACTGCTGCTTATTTCTGATCATGCTTGTTTACTATCTTTTGCCTAGTTGATTAGTGACAAAATGTTCACTATCTTTGTGAATTATTTCTAAATTAAACTAAACCTATGAAGATTCCTTTGTAAATAATATTCTTGTGACGGCTGCTGCAGTTTTTATTTATAGTGTCAACAATAGTAAACACAAATATAATGCTTAAAATGGCTTGTTTCACTTTTTTTTAAAAAGAACATTTCAAAATGACAAATGTTTATAAACAGTGAAGACAACAGTTTGTACAAATCTTAGTAAAAATTAAATTCAAAATACTAGAAGATAAGCAAGACTTTCCAAGAATACAAGGGAAAAATACAAATCAAAAAATGCAAAAGACTATAAAAAACTTGGGCATATCAATCTCAAAAGGCAAGAAAAACACAAAAAACACTGAGACCTCAATGGGAAAGTAGACAAAGGAAAGAAACAGAAATACAAAATGGAACTATTGGCCAGGCAGTCACAAACACACACACAATCCTTGACTGCTTACAGTCCACAAGTTGAAAAAAATACTCAATCCCACTGGTATTCAAAGAAATCAAACTTCTCACTTATGAAATTAGAAAACTGAAAAAGACAGTAACTTAATAAAGAGTTGTTGAAAACAGCTTTCTCATACACTGCTGGTGGTGTGCAAACTGGTAAGATATTTCTAGAAAGTAACCTGGGATTGTTTATCACCTTTAAACTTTAACATATACCAATCTGATCCAGTAATCTCATTTTGGGGAGAAAAACTGCTTAGAAAATAATCTGAAATTTATATAACATTAAAGGGCAACTACGAGTTGTCCATAAATCAGACGTTGGTAACCCTGGGACTTATTGTAGTGGAAGCTTTTTTGCCATGAGCCTAACAAGTCGAGGACAACCAATGAGAGGTCTTAAACAAAACAGAAAAATGAATGCATCGTTTTATTTTAAAAACAAAGTTCTGACTTTAAGGTGGAGAATGGGTAAAGTAAGAGGGTAAAAAGGGGGCCCAGCTATCTTTAAATGAAAATGGCCTATCTAAGGCATAAATAAGCCGTGGATGTTTTTAGTGGTACTGACTTGAGGAAAAGATCCAGAAAATCTTGAAGAGTTAAAAGGCCTTGCACAAAAAGAAAACACTCCAAGTGGTCTGCTGAAGTCCCTTTAGGACAGCTGTGAATACTGAGGAAAAATCAAAGTAACTACAATTAAAATAATTAGCAAGTCACACAGAATTACATAAAGACTTTAACGAATTTTTGAGTGTGATTTAAAATTCTTCAGCAATTTTGGGGAAATAACTCTTTGCTATTACTTTAAATCTTATCGTAAGTAGCATGGTATCAGATGTTTCAGGAAAAATTTTCAGAAAAACACTTCTGCATCATTTCTCTAGAATTGGCTTTTGAATATATACTAAAATACTTTAAGTTTTTACATCAATAATTTCCCACCCTTACTCAAACCTTCCTTTTTCTCTAAGGATAATTTCTATCCTTAGTTTTATATTCAACATGATCAACGTATAAAAAGTCCGTCCTTCTCAAACCATCTTAAAGACCAGATGCAATGAAGTTATAATGAATCATAATGAATTTTCCTTGCTTGATCCTTAAGAAGAAACTTACTACAAATCAAGAATTAGGAAACCAAAGGCTTCGCTGAGCACAGGGAAATTCAACGTAATTGAAAGACTGAGTATTTTCAGTCAAAGGAAACATTTGCTAGACCAAAAACTAATTGCTGTTTAACCTATTTGATTTGCTTTAGGGCTTCCTGCACTAATCATTAAAGTTTGGATTAAGCTCCATAAGCTAAAAACAACTTGGTCAGCTACTGGCAGTGACAACTATTTTAAGCCACCTGGCAAAATGAAGGACAGTGAGCACGGCTTATTTCCACGGGATCCCTGGGGCTACTAATAGCTCTGTTCCATCCTCTATAGCAGGAGCTGAGAGACAATCATGTTATCATAAACAGGTAATTTGCAGCAGTATCCCTTGAGGTAAAATTACTTTAACCACACCAATCTGATAACTAACTCATCTTTAATGTCACTAAAATTACAGTATAATCAGACAAGGGCCCCAAAATTACCCACATGTTTATTTATGAGCCAAATACACAACATTCTTTACACAAAGGACTAAAAATGAATGTAGTAAAGCTCACCTTCATTGGGAGATGTTTTCAACTTGGTGCAAATTCCATAGACGTCTCCATAGCTTTCCTGGATTTTCCGTAATGCATCTGTGGACCTGAGCTCCATGAGAGCCCGCAGCTCTGCGAGTGTAATTCCAAAGTCTCCATCATGATTAGCTTCCTTCAAAGAGTTTTTCACACCACCATATGAAACTGAGTTGTTTGCCATATCGCCCATTACAAGTATAACTTATTAGGAGGAAAATGTTTCCCAAAAGAATCTAATTTTCACTTGATATAGTTCCAAGATGAAAATCTTTTAAATATGAAAATCTTCCTTAAACCAAACACTCATTGTATCACTTTACAAAGCAGCATCAGCAGCAACATTTCCCAGAAAAGTTATCTTCACCTTTGGCCCATGACTAGTTTCTTCTTATCAATCATGAGATGCATACATCTGTAAGAAGAAAATATTTAAAAGTTAATAAAATCCATCATACAGTATTATATGTATATAAACATACTTTCTAAATGTCATCAAGTAGCTAATCAAAGTGTATCATCTAATTACAAAAATATTTGTTAACATTTTCCAACAGGAGTTTCATGCCTCTGAAATTTCTTGCATGACAAAAGATCAAAGTACAACTTGGAAATGAAATTGCATATAAAAAGACATTAGATCTCGATTATTAAATGGAACTGTGTTTCACATGACTGAATTTTATATTCCATTCAGTATTACTATTAATACCATTAACTATTACTAATAGTTACCAGTTAACCATTAATAGTTACCAATATCAGCACTTACTTCCAAGCACTATGCTAGCTACTTAAAATTCACTCTCTCATTTAATCATCACAACTTAATCCCATAAGGTGTTATTATTACTTCTTAGTCTACTGTGAAGAGTAAGACTCGGAGAATCCGACAATCTTGTGCACAGCTAACCCTAACCCTAATGCTAGTGGTGTAATGGTTAAGTGCTACAGCTGTGAACCAAAAAGGTCGGTAGTTCGAATCCACTGGCTGCTCCTTAGAAACCCTATGGGGCAGTTCTACTCTGTCCTATAGGGTCACTATGAGTTGGAATCGAATCAACGGCAGTGAGTTTGGTTTTGTGCACAGCTAATAAACGGCTAAGATGGCTGAGCTGGGTTCTCTCCAATCCCACACTCCTTCTGATAGATGACTCTATCCTTCTAAATCTTTCTTATCAGATAGCCTCCGAAAAGGGCAAAAAAAGCATAACAAACCCACTAATATTGCCTTCTTGCAATTCTCCTTGGCCTCACTAAGCCTCTACTATCTTTTGGCTTCTTAGAACTATCTTCCACCGTGACTTCTGTCACATGTCACTGTCTCAGGTCTTCCCTTGACTATCTAAAGAAATACTCCACCCCTTTGTCACTCTTTACTGTTACTGTTTTCTTTGCAATCTTTATTATTATCTTAAATTATCTTCTTCATTAGTTCATGTGTTATACTGTTGTCTCCCTCTGCTTACAATATTAGTTCTAAGGGCAGGGCACTGGTTGGTCAGTCACTGTATTCTGAGAACCTAGAACTGTGCCAGGCACATGGTAGGTGCTTTGGTAGGTAAATGACTGAATGGATGCATCACTTTCTCTTCACAGTACTTCCAAATCCCTCTCTTATTCTAATCTATCTGAGTTCTCTTTTCTATATAAGTCCTTTAAGGAACTCGTCGTCCACCATTCTCTTCTCTTCAACTAGCTCACAGTCTATTAACCCCTAGTTCTGCACCCTTAGTTATCCTTCAATCACCTCAAAGTTAACATGTACAACACTGTATTCAATTCATTCCCTATCAATCAGCTGCCTTCCTCAATTTTAATCTGTCTGTGACATCATCATTATCCTAACCACCTGGGCTTGAACTCTTAAGTCATCTTTGATTCCATCCTCTCTAGTTTCAGTTAAATTACTAAGTTCAACTAATTCTTTCTTTGAAAATTCTCTGCCATATAACAATTTTTCTTCCTGATCTTCAAGTACCCCTACACCAACTATAATCACTACTCCTAAATTCTACCTCATTCTAGTATTTCCTATATCCAATCTCTTGTGCATTTCACTGTTACATTTAATTTTCTTACAGGCATCATGCCGCTATATTTAAACCTACAGAATGAAAATGCAATCCTATTGCTTATGCCTGTTTGACATTCAAAGCCAAGTTCCATTTTACCTATTTAACCTCTTCCCCTCTTACCAAAACAAACCCCCCAAATATTTAATAAATAAAATGTTTAACGATTGCTATTGTGTGCCACTGAGTGGATTCCAACGATAGTGACCCTACTGGACAGAGCAGAACTACCCCACAGGGTTTCCTAGGCTGTAGTCTTTATGGGAGTAGATCTCCAGGCCTTTTCTCCCGCTGAGCAGCTGGTGGGTTTGAACGACCAATCTTTTGGTAAGCAGCCAAGCATTTTAACCATTGAGCCACCAGGAATCCTGTTCAATGATTAAGAACTAGAAAAAATTACTGGCAAATACAATTAAACTTCAGCTATCCAATTCTTCTGAGGATGGTTACAATTGATGTTATGCGGTCCTCAAATTTCAGCAGATATCAAAATCACCTGGAGGGCTTGTTAAAATAGTGTTGGGCCCTACCCTTCAGAATTTTAGATTCAGCAGGATTAGGGAAGGGCTTTAAATCTGCATTTCTAACAAGTTGCTAGGTATCACTGATGCTACTGGTCCAGAGAGCACAATGTGAGAACCACTCAATTAGAGAAGGGACTTAAAAGTTTGAATTAATACCAGCTGGTTGGGCATGGCTGTTTGAGGAAAGCATGCCTGCCCTGGGTTAAATTTGCAAGGGTGTGCTAGTCTTGAGATAGTTACAGATTCTCTAAAACATTTTCTGTTCATTGCCTGCTTTCTCCCACTTCACTAATCCTTACGCATCCTAATTATTACTGATTTTACTCATCTCCTAGCAAAGTGGGTTCCCTTCTACTCACACATTGCTATAACCCAATTTTAAAGACTAGAAAGGGTGGTTATTTGATAATCTCCCTGAGTTTCCATATCCCAAACTTGCTGGCATATGAACATCACACTAACCCTAAAAGAGATTGCTATTACTTGTTTCACAAATTAAAAAAAAAAAAAAAAATTAAGATTCTTAAAAGTCTGTGTGTTGGGGGCACGTGTGTTCATTACTCCTCTGGTTTCCATTAGGAGGAATTTTCCTCAACAAGTCCTGGCATCATACCCCACCACTGAGGTGAAACGAGCTGCCTGACTGAAGATTTTCTAAGAGGAATTAGACATCTGTGGCTTTTTCACCTCCCTGCCTTCTTTTGGGAGCCCTGGTGGCACAGTAGTTAAGTGCTACGGCTGTTAACCAAAAGGTCAGCAGTTTGAATCCACCAGCTGCTCCTTGGAAACCCTATGGGGCAGTTCTACTCCATCCTATAGGGTTGCTATGAGTCGGAATCGACTCAATGGCAATGGGTTTGGTTTTTTGGTGGCCTTCTTTTGAGAGCCAGATGGCTACAGGAATAAAGCATTCTGGCCAGAGTTTTCTGGAGCAGACTCCCAGGTGAAAAACCACTACTGTTCGAAGAACCTGGGTTGGGGGAGTGGATAACTGTTTAGTTCTGGGTTCAATATTAGAACCCCACTGTTACCACTCAGAAGCCACTCAAGAAACTCACTGTTGTTCCATTTCAACTTTCATCAGTAATAAAACTCATATTTTTATTTCTGTGTGCTGAAATTTGTCTTTTCTCTCAACAGAATTCAAGCAGGGGAAAAGGGAATTATTTAGTGGGTACCCATAATAAATTCCTCAACAATAAGGATAACACATACGCAGTGCCGTAGATTGCTTTCATGTGGCCTTTCTGGCCATGGTTTTGTATATCCCACCCAAGTGATTGGGTGGGACTGTGTGATAGGGTAACTGTGGCCCACCAAGGGGATTGGTCAATTTTACCATCTCACTGGGCTTGAAATGAGCCACCCCAGAGGCGGGAAAGAGAGAATCCCACCACCACTGAGGAAGAACAGCCAGGAGCCAAACACGTCCTTTGGACCTGGGATCCCTGTGCTGAGAAGCTCCTGGAACCAGGACTGAGAGAGAGAGTGAGTTGTAACCCTGCAGACAGTGAGACGTGGTGGCAGCAGACCTGGCAGAGACCCGGCAGCAGGATATGGCGTGATGGGCTTCTTGGCCCACAGAGCAAGAAAGCTGAGTACCTTTGGGCACAGACTGAGAGGCATGCCTGTAAGCATGGCTGGGAAGAGGCTGTCCTGATGAAAGAACTATATCCTTGAATGTTCCTGTGCCTGAATTGTAACCTGTTACTTCCCTAATAAACCCCATAACCATGAGTGTGGTCTGTGAGTTCCATACAGCCACTGCAATGAATTATCAAACCCAGCAGAGAAGTAGAGAGTGCCATGGAAGGAACAGTTGGTGTCAGAACTGGTAAAGATGACGGAGAGAAGAAGCATGTCTGACCTCTGCTTCACACAAATCAGAGTTGGGCTGTTGATTTTGATTCTCCTTACCCCCTGTGAAACAGGAGGAGGTCCGACACTGCCTCCATACCGTTTTTCCAGTACATAATAGAGCGAGGATTTGAATCTAGATTTGTGACTCAAAAAGCTATATGCCTTCATCTTTAGAATAAATGAAAGTTAGAGAATGGTAAATTTGGGCTAAATAAGGCACACCCCCCACCCACCCAAAAGAAAAAAAAGAAAAAAGCCCTCGTTGCCGTAGACTTGATTCTGAATTACAGCAACCCCACAGGACAGAGAGGAACTGCCCCATTGGGTTTTCAAGGCTGTAATCTTTACGGAAGCAGACTGCCACATCTTTCTCCTGGAGAGTGGCTGCTGGGTTCCAACTGCCAACCTTGCAGTTAGGAGCCGAGCGCTTAACTACCACGCCACCAAGACTCCTTAAATAAGGCAGAATCCTTCCTTATTTTAAAAGACAATATCATAGATCCAAATTCAGTTAAGCATTCAGTATAAATGTACACAACTGACTCTTGGTCAGCACCCCACTGCCAATCAGTCTATTTAGCTTTTAAAAATCAAGATTCCTTTTACGCAAAATTACTTAAAGACAATACACTGCAGACAAGAAAAGTTACTCTTCCTTGATTACAGTATATGTAAGATATCACAGATTTTGAAGATCTGTAAATTGTGGTTATAAGCTTAGGGAAGTCACTTGATTTATTTTAAGCCTAAATTTAAATAAACTGGGTATAAGTCAGAAGTAATTTATTTGTTAGAAACCAATCCTTTCATTTAAACTTTCATTAGTCTCTTAAAACGTCCTTTCAGTCAACAAGTTAAAAATTCCCAAGTAATCTTGATATTTTTAAAAAATCATTAACAATTTAGAATAAACCTTCAAAACTAAAGAGGAAAATTGTGGTCCTAAATCCTATTCAGTTTTCTAATGCTTACAGATTTTCTAAGTAATTCAGCGTGTTAAGTAACTTTTGATTTCACATACTTTATTCCAAAAAAAAATTCCAAGTTCTCTTAAAGTACCTACATACTGAAATAGCTCAATGAAATATCTTTGGATTTTCATTTGATATACTGAAACATTTTAAGTGTTAAGTCAAATCTCTACTTACTAGCTCTACTAAATGTCTCAGTAATTTAAAAAAAATCCAAAACTAGTATTTACAAAGGTTCTTAATTCATGACTGATTCTATATGAACATAAATCCTCTAAAGATAAAGAGACTTATTTTCATTCACTTAATAAGAGAATAGGAAACCCTGGTGGCATAGTGGTTAAGTGCTACGGCTGTAAACCAAAAGGTCGGCAGTTCGAATCCACCAGGTGCTCGATGATGGAAACTCCATGGGGCAGTTCTACTCTGTCCTATAGGGTCACTATGAGTCAGAATCGATTCAACAGCAACGGGTTTGGTTTTTTTTTTTTGGTTAATAAAAGACTAAAAAGAAATTTTAAGTTTCAAACTCTTAGTTTAGTTTTTAACTACCAATGTGTACTACTTTATAAATTAAGAAAATGTATTTAATGTCAACTTTGACATAACCATACAAAATTATAGTTTGCTTACTGGATCCAAATAAGCTAATATGAATCCTTAATGAGAATAATTCCTACCTTTTTGGAGTGGCTTTTTTTTTTTTAGTTACAAAATCTAAATCAAAATACAGTAAAATACTAACCATAAACAAAAGCCACCATTCTGTTAAATAATGATTACAAAGAAAAAAAATCACAGAATTTAAGAGCTGAAAGGGATGTTGGAGATCAAATCCAACTGTTCATTTTACAGCCACTGAAACCAAAAACTCATAATCACCTACTTCCCAAAGGATAAAGATACTTACAATAAAATAAGCATTAAACACTCACAAAAATCATTAAAAACTATAGTAAAAGACCAAAACTTAAATCACAGAATAAATCATAATAAAGTAAAAGTTTTAACTGACTCAATGGCAACTGAAAAAAATTATAATGGAACATAAATGACACTGTTCTTCAAACCCCACACTAACACCCTAGCCATTAGATGATGCACTATTTGATTGACAAAGAGTCAAAAACAGTTTTTGACTAGAGCCTTTCAAAAAAGAACACTCAAGAGACTTCCATATTCTTAGTGTTTTTTATATAAAAATCAATTCAACTTCCTTTGTATGCAGACAAGTAGTTGTGGAAAGAGGGTTGCTATTGGCACTTCTGGTGGATAATTCTTCACTGACAGAGAGCATGCCCTCATAAATTAAGGAATCCATAACCCCCCAATCCCACTAGATGCCAGCAGTGACCCTCAAATCAGTGTGACAATACAAAACCCACTACATTAAATGCCCGAGGTGGGGGGATGGACAATATTTATAACTACTATATAACTAAGCTTAAATTTAAGGCCTATTATACTAAAACATTATTTAAAGGCAAAAACTATGCCTTATTCATCTTTGATCTCTGTATTTTAGCGAGCGGTAACTATGCTCTATCAACGTTCTTATATAGTCACTTTCTGTAGAAAAAAACCAACTTTTACCTAATTCACACCCTAAATATTTTAAATATTCCAGCAATAACATTGAAAGAGTACAATTTTTACTATGAAACAATGATCATTTACTGTAAACTACTAAATATAAAAGTACTGAAATTATTTTTACTAAGTATTTTTTTAAAACTGGAATCATTCTAAATAATAGTATGTGTAAAATCACAGGTTTGATTCACTAGTTTAACGTTTTTCCTAACGCACATTAGAACACATGACTATTATAATTTTTTTTTAAAAAAGAACTGATCTGTAATATCTCACTGTAAGGGAGGAAGAACAGATAGTCTAATATACATATAGAAGAGTAGCTATCTCAACATTATGAACGGTGGGGACTTTTTTACTAAGTTTTGGTATATTCAAATTATTTCATTAAAACACTCCAAAGAACCAAAGGATGACTCAATTTTAATATTACTGGGAAATCACATTTTTCATTTTTGATGTGGCTTAAAGAAAGCATACATGTATAAAAGCACATAAAGCCTACAAAGCTTGTTTAGAAAGTAATTTATATCAGATGAGTATAAATAAGAGTAATTTCATCAAACAGGGTTCCAGTTTTATAGAACTGATAAAGCAGAAAACAAGAACTGCCTACAATGCCTGATTTATTCATTTTGAGGGGTTATAACTACCACCACTGAGTCTGTAGTGAATAAGATTAGTACCATCCCTCAGTATGTTACTTATCGTCTACAAGATTTCTTCCAGAGGCACAGACCAGACTAAGCATAGTACTTGAAGGGCAAGTTACAGCTGCTGCCAATTAAAAATTCACCATGACCCCCTTTAGCAAATCTCTCAGGGGGATAACAAGTAAATCAGTAGTGGAGTCACTACTTTGTTCTTACTTCTATTCTATTATAGCTCTTATCACACAGCTGCAGTGATTTGTTTACTTGTCTGTCTTTCCCAGTGAACTGTGAACTCCAGGCAGGATTTGTGCCATTCATTTTTAACGCCCAGGACCTAGCACTGTAAGTGTAGCACCTAGTAGATGCTCAATGTTCACTAAGTAAAAAATCTTCCGGTCTGAACCTTCAACTGAAAATCAATTTGAAAAACAGGTTCTGAAATAGCAAACAATGACAACTCATACAGCAGAGCAAAACAAAACCTCCTAACACTATTTAAAATAATATGATAGGTGTGTAGATGAGTTAAGAGAAAAGTCATAGTATTCAAGGAATTTTCAAACCGCCTTGGTGTGCAAAATACATAAAGTTTACTTTCATTTAAATCCTTTCAGACGAGAGAAATTAAAACGCTTTTCAGATAGCCAGATGAATTATGCAAACGACGACTGCGACATGGCAATCATTTTCAACCAGGGTCCCAGATCTTTGTAGACATGCAAAGTTAGTAATAATACTGAGTTTTAGTGCTTCATAAAGCCTGGAAGAAATTATACAGTTACCTGGGAAATAATTTGTTAGGGTTACCCATGCTAAACAAAATCACAGCAAATAAAATATGGTAATAAGGTTAGTAGTTATGTCTCAATAAAAAGGAAATAAAAATCTTACCTAGTAAATGCAATTTGGTAAGAAAATCCTCAAACCTACATCTAGCTATCATCCTCTAAATGAAATT